ATCGGTGTTCGTGACGCAGTTTCTTCGCGTTAAGCCGAATATCCATGTTTCATTCTCGTCTCCATCGTGCTCAGGATATCCTCTTCTCAGTTGCTGGCCAACAATCGGCTCCGTACAGGGCGACCGGTCGTACAACAGTTCGATATACTTTTGACTTGAGATCAGTGGCGGAGCGAGGGGGCGAGAGGGAGTCATAGGCCCCGGACCGATTTGGGAATCATCCCAAAAATTTACGGAATGCGTGGCTAACGCCATGCACCTTCATCGGAAAAAAATTTCTGTCGCCCCTCTCTACGGACGGAAATTCTGCGACCGCCACTGCTTGAGATATATTGGAATTCAACGGTCGCAGAGTACTCCCGTTACTTGCCGCCATTTTCAGCTACGCCGCATTCGTTCTAGCACGCTATGCTATCAGCTCCACCCATGCATTCAAAAATACAGAGTCAAGATACCTAAATAGTACAAGAAGCTTATCCTCTGTCTCATTAGGGTTGAGTGGTGAGGGAGGCTCTAGGCTTTGCATCTCCCTCGCGAATGTACTCCTAAACCATTTCTCAGGCTTAATTAGCGATCGCAGCTCCGCCCTCCGCTTGCCACTCCCAATGAAACAAAGGGTACATTTGCCCACTATAGCTGTGTCGAACGAATTACAAAACAGCAAATTGCGATCTTATTCATTAACGATGCTTTTATCATTACTTCTGCTTTTTTTGTTACAACATCTAGATCAAAATTACCTCAACGTGGTTCTAGCAATAATAAGGCCTGGGAATATGTTCTTAGATATCATAGCACAAAGTTCCTTAAATATCCCACCTTTAGATTTCTATCACTAGTAAATCTAGCTAAAGATTCCTCTCAAAAAAATTGTTGAATAATATAACCGCCAAGTGAAACAAGTACATGCTGTGCCGAAACCTAGAGCGGACGATTAATTCGAGCAGCGATTACAGCTATACCAAGAATACATGTTCCTTTGGAAGCAATTGTAATTGTGAGAATCCTTACAGGGAGTACTTCGCACGTGTGATGAAGATGTGCACGATGCCTCCAGCACCACCGACGGCAGCTTACTTGCAGCACTACTATCACAATCACATCCACCATCATCACCATACCGTTCATCATTGCTGCGATCCTTCCGTATCGGACAATTCCTCAGCAGAAGTGACACCCACGATTCAAGCACAAGGTGACACTTGTTGGACCCTTCCGGCAACAATGTGTTCCATGGAAGCAAGAGCACCAGAACTCTATCCTCTCCGCTATGAACCAAGACGGAGAATTTTCGGAAAAATGGCGTCGAATCCTTTCACGAAACCTGCGAATGTACAAACCACTGAACCAGGTGAGCATATCCATAACTGGGGAAAGTTAATTAGATAGGTTGCAGAACTGTCTCATGTCGCACGTTGGTTGGACACAATTCGCCTGGATGATATTGAGAAGTATCATGAACCATTGTGAGGCGTTTGTTTACGGTGAAAAAAAA